AGAATGTCCGCCGTAAATTCCACTTTCCCCAGTAGCCAACCGTCTCCCTCCAGTTCGGGAATGGCTTGGGATTGGGTCCCTGCTGAAAAAACTTCCATTGTGTTCGCAGGAGCTATTTATACCAGAGGTAGAAAGGATGATACAGGATATGTTTTTGTCATTGATTGTATTTGCAGTTCTAAGTGAAAAGGGGTGTGTGGGCTCTTTTTGTAGCAGGGACTCCTTTGCATATTAGGCCACACACCCCTAATGTAGCCAATCCTCCAAGAGCTTACAGAGCTCTTCTTACAGGAGCTACTGTAAGCTCTTAGAGGATTGGCTACATTAGGGGTGTGTCGCTTAATATGCAAATGAGTACCTGTGACAAAAAGAGCCCTTGGCGGCGGGGGGCCGTGTGTCTCGAAGACACAGTGCAGGATGATTATTGCTGGAGCCAATTGGAGGTGCTAGTCCTCATGGACACTCCACTTTTATTAGAGTCAATGCAAGAGGTAGGTTTCACCAGACCGGTGAAAAGACAGCTAACCTTTTTTTAAAAAAGCAGCAGAGCTGCTTTGGAAACATGGTGCCAAATCCATGTGGGCTTTCCCTCCTCCAGGGCTGAGCTCTGGGGAAACAAGTTCTGCAAACTTAACAGCAGAAGCTGGCCTTTGAGCAGCACCGATTGGCTGGTGCCTGTGACGTCGCCGACAGACCTCCAGTTTTGCACTTTTTAGAAGGTTTCCTTTTTTACTAAAAAAAAGAAGTACTAAGGCGACGAATGAACAGGTAAACGTGCACGCAACACCTTTTTTCAACTGTAAAAGGTGAGCAGCCCTCCTGTAGCGTGGAGGGAAGACGATGAGTGACAGGCCTAGTCTACCTTCGTCATGCTAGTTTTGAAGTTGGAGGGAATCTGCGCTCAGCGCTGCAGCTGAAGCTTCTTCCGTGAACTCTCTCCTTTTAGCCTCTCTCTTCGGCCTGAGTTTCTCAGCTTTTATATATGTATATTTTTAAATAATCCGTTTTCTAGTCCTTAAGCCTGAGGAAATAAGCTTGAAAATACGTGGTTGACGAAAACTCAGAAGCCATAGCTGGTCTGAACAGGAGTTCCAGTGATCAGAGACCCTCGTTGTTCCCTGTCGTCTCAATAGCAGCAGAAATGAATGCAGGTTGCCAGATTTCAACTTCTGGGCTTTCAGTCTGGATGACCTCGATGGGGAACTTTTGATTCAGTAGGATATACTAGGGATGCCAACCTCCAGGTGGAGCCTGGAGATCTTCTGAAATTATGATCTCCAAGGCTACAGAGATCAGTTCCGGAAGAAAATGTCTGCTTTTGGAAGGGGGGGGGTTATATGAAATTGCATCCCCACCGATGCTCCCTCTATGCTGTGGAGCCCTGTGAGCAAAAATTCTACTTTGTGAGCTACCGGCATTAAAGTGGTGAGCGAGCGATTTGGCTCCTGCAGAAATTGGTTTGCTCTGGAGCCATCCCTTCCTGGGCTGAGACAAAAATGCGTGAGCCGAAGGCTAAAAAACTGTAAGCTAGCTCACACTCACTCAGCTTAGAGGGAACACTGGTCCTCACTCAGTTTCCTCCCCGCCCTGACCTTCTCCTTCCCCAGCCTCCACCCCCCAAAAAAATCTCCAGGAATTTCCCAAGCTGAAGTTGGCAACCTTAGGAAATGAGCCTCTCGCTAACTGCCTCTGCTAACTAGCCACATCTTGTTAAAACTCCCAACTGGGAATTGAGAACACAGGTGAGATAACCAGCTAGTTTTATAGCTCCCTTCCCCGGCATGATCTGTGAGAGGCTCGTAAATGAAAGACGGGAAAAGACGAGAAGGAAATGAAATAAATGAAGTGCGTCACAGTGGTGGAGAATGTTTCTGGGGGAGGGGTGCGCAGCAGCCTGAGTCCCCCCATGTTTTGGTCCTGGGGGGGGGATTTGAGGCTCAGCAATGAAAATTATGTGTGTGGGGGGCAGGGAGCAATCAGTTCTCGTAATCTAGATGGAAGGAGGGGTTGGTGTTTATATTTTTGATAAATATATGTGTGTGGGGGGGAGAATGTTCTTTTTGTAATTAAATGCATAAAAATGTAAAGGAAATAACACTTCTTGTGCAACTGTGTGTGGCTTTTTAATTTTTTTTTGGGTTAGGAGGTGTCAAAGAAAGGGAAGTTTCTGCAAAGCAGAAAAGGATTTGGAGAAATGTGGAAGTAATCTTTTGCTTGTTTGTGTGAGCGAGGGAGAGGGAGGTTGTGTGAGAGAGGGAGAGTTAAACTTCTTCCGTCCCTGTTGCTCATCTTAATATAGAGCAACCTCCAGTTTTTGTCTTTCCTGACGGTGCTGGCTGAGTGGCTGTGATGTCTTAGAATACCTCTAAACGGTCTAACTTCTACAGCCACACAGTCATGTTTCTTTTGTTTTAAATTGTCCCATTCCTCCTTTAAGGAGCGCAGGGCAGCATACATAAGTCCCCCCACCCTTTTTTATCCTCCCACCATTGCTCGTGAGATTGCAGAGTGGGGGGTCTTGAACTCATATGATACCATCCTTGCACAACATTCTAGTACTACACCACACTGGTTCCTTGGTTGTGTTGCGTCTGGTGGAGCTCTCCAGCCATGCTGTTACCCAGTCTGCTGGTATGCCCAAATGGGGTATGTTAAAGGTGGCTTATACGGGATGGAACCGGCGCTCTCTCTAAGCCGTGGAGTCTTATCCGTTCTAACCCGACCGCTCAGCAATTTCATGGAGTGCCCACGAGTTCTTGTATTGTGAGAAAGGGAGAAAAGTACCTCTTTCTCTACCTGTTCTTTTCCATGCATAATCTTGTAAACTTCAATCATGTCACCCTAGCTCACCCTAGCTCACACTAACTCAGCTTAGAGGGAACACTGGATGGAACATATGTGGAGTGCCTACATAGACAAGCACTTTCCCCCTGGCTGTGCCAGATTCGGGTGTCAGACATGGAGACTGATAACCTTGTGTCGAAAGGACAGGCATGTGGCTTCGGGGGGGGGGGGAGTGTGTGAGAAAGAATGAGTGAGTGTGTGGTAGTAACCGCATGGTGTAGTGGTTAGAGCACCAGACTAGCATTTGGGAGACCCAAACTGGAATCGCCACTCTGTCCTGGAAGCTCGCTGGATGACCCTTCATGTCAAAGTTCCCTTTAGTGACCGTGGTTTGTGGCCACTGATGAACCTCTCCTCCACGAATCTGTCTAATCCCCTTTTAGAGCCATCTTAAAGTTGCCAGGTCCCTCCTGGCCACCAGCAGAGGGTGGGTGGGGTAGGGTTGCCAGCTCAAGTTTGGGAAACTCCTGGAGATTTGGAGCTAGAGCCTGGAGAGGGACCTCGGTGGGGGGGGCAATGCCTCAGAGTCCACCTTCCAAGGCCTCTGTTTTCTCCCGGGGAGCTGATCTCTGCAGTCTGGAAATGAGCTGTAATTCCGGGGGCTCCGCAGGTCCCACCTGGAGGGTGGCATCCTTATGGGGACTGCTCTCTAGAGTCTGAAGACCTGTAATTCTGGACTAACCCCCAGCAATGTTCCCTCTAAGCTGTGGAGTCTTGTGAGCAAAAAATTCTACTTTGTGAGCGACTGGCATTAAAATTATGAGGGGGGGCCATTTGGCGACTGCTTAAATTAAGTTTGCGCTGGGGCCCTCCTTCCTGAGCGAAGGCAAAAATGTGTGAGCTGGAGGCCAAAGAGCTGTGAGCCAGCTCACGCTATCGCAGCTTAGAGGGAACACTGACCCCCAGGTCCCACCTGGAGGCTGGCATCCCTACTCCCTGGGAGGAATTAAGGACTGGTCAGGACAAAGCTCACACTTGGCTTGATGTGTGTGGCGCTGAGCTACATATGCACACCCAGACATGCCCGTGAACGAGTAGGCCTTCTCCACTCCCTTTGTGATCTCTTCAGCAAAGCTCTTGTGCCTTTTAAAGTCCGTGTGAAAAGCAGACCTTTGACCAGCAGGGCTATTTTTGGGCAGGAACACACAGGAACGGAGTTCCGGCTGGCTCCCAAGTTGGCCACGCCCAGCAGGAACTCATTAGCATAATAGGCCACACCCAACAGCAGAAACTCATTAGGATTGGCTACATTAGGGGTGTGTGGCCTAACATGCAAAGGAGTTCCTGCTCCCAAAAAAGCCCTGGGTTTTGACCACAAACAAGGTAAACAGAATAAGAAGCAAAAGGTGGGTGTGTCTGGATGACCACACTTCTGCGAACATGGGGTGTGTGGCCTAATATGCTAATGAGCTGTGCTGTCAGGGGTGTGGCCTAATAAGCAAATGAATTTCTGCTGTGGGGTGTGGCCTGTTATGCCCTGTCGACCAGTGTTCCCTTTAAGCTGAGTTAGTGTGAGCCAGCTCACAGTTTTTTAGCCTCCAGCTCACACATTTTTGTCTTGGCTCAGGAAGGACAGCTTTATGCAGGAGCCAAATCGCTCGCTCACCACTTTAATGCCGGTAGCTCACAAAGTAGAGTTTTTGCTCACAAGACCCCACACCTTAGAGGGAGCATTGCCCTTGACTGCTGCAGTTTCTCCCACCTTGAGGGGGGGGGGGACATCAACGGCTGGTGGCCAATGTTCCCTCTAAGCCGTGAAGTCTTGTGAGCAAAAATCCCACTTTGTGAGTTCCTGGCATTAAAGTTGTGAGCCAGCGATTTGGCCGCTGGGTAAATTAGTTTGCTCTGGAGCCCTCCTTCCTGAGCGGAGACAGAAATGTGTGCGCCAGAGGCTAAAAAGCTGTGAGCTAGCTCACAGCAACTCAGCTTAGAGGGAACACTGCCGGTGGCCCGTCAAGGTAGACTGCCCCTGCACATGGGGCTTCATTCATTCATTCCATCCACCCCACGCTCTCTGGCCGCAGTTCGCTTTGCCGGCCGTCCTTCCCCCGAGCTTCAGTCGCGGGCAGGATCCTCCCAGAAAGGGGGAGGGTGGGAGAGAGGAAACCCAAGAAGAGAAGCGACGGAGATTGCGAAAGAGAAAGCCGGCAGGGATCTCCTGCCAGCGCGGAGGCTCTTTTGACCAGGAAGGGAAGCGGAATTAAAACCAGCAAATGTCTCCCCCATGTCGAGGCCTGCAGTGAGAACTCCCCCTCTGCCCGCTGCAAAGGAGCCGGCCGGAACACAAAGGTATTTGGAGGGGGGAGGGTGTCCCCTGGGGTGGCACAGCAGAGGAAGGGGGTGGGCACCCCCCCTCCGGCTATATCATGGTTGTGGGCCGTGATCTTCGACCTAGGAGGAGTTCCGTGCTAGATGAGGCCAAAGATCCGTTCTCAAGCCGGTCCCAACCAATGTTCCCTCTAAGCTGTGGAATCTTGTGAGCAAAAATTCTACTCTGTGAGCTACTGGCATGAAATTTGTGAGCGAGCGATTTGGCTGCTGCATAAATTAGTTGGCTCTGGAGTCATCCTTCCTGAGCTGAGACAAAAATGTGTGAGTTGGAGGCTAAAAAACTGTGAGCTAGCTCACACTAACTCAGCTTAGAGGGAACACTGGTCCCAACGCTTTCACACACCCGCCCCAGTCCCCCACTTCACACTGATCCTGATCTGGGTCAGATGCCTCCTGGACTTTCAGATAAGGCAATTCCCCCCCCACACACACCGTTTGAAACGAGAGAGGAACACGGAAGTCTACAACAAAAAAACCAAACAAAAGCGTAAGGAAAGATGCAGGAGTCTATCCTGGCTGGCAGGTTATCACGGATTGCATCTTGGATCCTCAGGTTCATTCGCTGGAAGGTGGTTTGCTTTTCCCCCTAGACTTTTAACCAGGGCTCCGTGATCTTGGCTGTAGGATTCGGGGTTTTGAGTATCTTGGGACTCTTTTTTAAAATCAAGTTCCGAGTCCTTGTATTTTATAACGGTGGGGTCAGTATTTGCCCAGATCTGACGGTTTCTGGCACAGACCTGAAGGCTCCTTGTCCTCTCTGAGTCCAACCAGAGCAGAATAAATCTCACAAAAACACAAGGCCTTGCTCGTTTCCAGAAGGGATGCAGGTTGCAAAATTCGGCTTAGGCTGTCACTGGGTTTGGGCTCTTTTGGTGCTCAGTACTTGGTCCGCTTTTTTAGTCACGCCATGGGAAATGTCTTCGGACAGCGCTGGCTCTTCGGCTTTGAAACGGAGATGGGCACCGCAACCCTAGAGTCGGATTCGACTGGCTTTTGAGCAAGGGAGACCTTTACCTTTACTTTTTACTAGGTCCGCTACTTTTAATTTGTTCGTTAATGATTTGGAGTTGGGGGTAAGCAGTGACGTGGCTAAGTTAGCAGATGACACGAAGTGGTTCCGGGCGGTGAGAACCAGGGAGGGTTCTCCAGAGGGATCCGTCGAGGCTGGCCGAGTGGGCATCTACGTGGCAAATGAGGCTCAACGTGGGCAAGTGCAAAGCAATGCACATCAGAGACCAAAATCCTAACTATAAATATATGTGGATGGGGTCTGAAATGGTGGTAACTGACCAGGAGAGAGATCTTGGAGTCGTGGTAGATAACTCACTGAAGATGTTGACTCAGCCTATGACCGCAATAACAAAGACAAACGCTGTGCCGGGGATTATTAGGAAGGGAACTGAAAATAAATCAGACAGTGTCATAATGCCCCTGTCTCAATCTATGCAGCCTCATTTTTGGAGTACAGTGTACAGTTCTGGTCACTGCACCTCAAAAAAGATATTACAGCATTGGAAAAGGTGCAAAAAAGGGCAACGAACGCTATGATCACACACGCTAAATAATCCACTTTCAATCTACTTTCAATGCACTTTCCAACTGGATTTTACTATGCGAACTGGCAACATCCAGTTGGAAAGTGCATTGCAAGTGCATTGAAAGTGGATTATTTAGTGTGTGTGATCGCAGCCTAAAATGATTAATGGGATGGAATACCTTCCCTATGAGGAAGGGTTAAAAAGGTTAGGCACTTTCGCTTTAAGAAACAAAGACTGAGGGGTGACATGGCAGAAGTTTTCAACATTATGCATGGGATAGGGAAGGTAGAGAAAGAAGTACTTTTCTCCCTTTCTCACAACATAAGAACTCATGGGCATTCCATGAAATGAATGAGTAGTAGGCTTAGAACAGATCAAAGGAAGTCCTTCTTCGCCCAAAGAGTAAGTCACACGTGGAATTCACTGCTGCAGGAAGTGGTGGTGCCTACAAGCATAGACAGCTTCAAGAGGGGATTGGATAAACATGGAGCAGAGGTCTATCAGTGGCTGTTAGACACAAAGTATAGATAGAACACTCTGTCTGGGGCAGTGATGCTCTGTATTCTTGGTGCTTGGAGAACAACAGTGGGAGGGCTTCTGGAGTTCTGGCCTGCTGATAGACCTCCTGATGGCACCTGGGTTTTGGCCACTGTGTGACACAGAGTGTTGGACTGGATGGGCCACTGGCCAGATCCAGTATGCCTTCTCTTAAGTCCTCCTTATGAGTTTTAACCTGATTTTGAGCACAGCGTGTTCAGATCAAAGAGGTTCCTTTGTTATAGATGAGTTGACTGGATGCAGTTAAAGTCCGAAAAGTGCACAAGGTGAGACTATGATAGGAGTGATCGATTACATCTGTAGGGTCAAAGTGCTTTGCTTGTACTCTATGCAACAACCCTGTAAGGGTAGGTCACTGTCTTTATTACCGTCAGGGCTATTTTGGGGTAGGAACGCACAGGAACGGAGTTCCGGCTGGCTCCCAAGTTGGCCACGCCCAGCAGGAACTCATTAGCATAATAGGCCACACCCAACAGCAGGAACTCATTAGGATTGGCTAAATTAGGGGGGTGTGGCCTAACATGCAAAGGAGTTCCTGCTACAAAAAAAGGCCCTGGGTTTTGACAACAAACAAGGTAAACAGAATAAGAAGCAAAAGGTGGGTGTGGCTGGATGACCACACTTCTGGTAACATGGGGGGTGCGGCCTAATGTGGTAATGAGCTGTGCTGTCAGGGGTGGCCTAATAGGCTAATGAGTTTCTGGAGTTGAGTGTGGCCTATTATACTAATGAGTTCCTGCTGGGCTTTTTCTACAAAAAGAGCCCTGAACCATAATACAGATGGGGGGGAAACTCAGCTTAGAGAGAAGAGCTCGCCTAAAATTAGCGACCGCACGTCTGAAAGTGGCAAAATTCAAGCTGGAGGTCTTCTTTGTGGTCCTTCAGTCTCATAGCTACTGTGCAACACCAGCCTCTGTCCTGAGAGCTGGAATGGTAGACCTACTTCGTGGAAGATCCGTTTGCCTGTTGTGCAGAACCACGGTTAAACTAACTCAGGTTACAGTGCAGAGTTACACCGTTCCAAGACCACTGAAGTCAGGAGGCTCCGAAAGGTTTAACTTTGCTTAGGATTAGAGATGTAATATTTCCGGAAATTTTGAAACTCGGAAAAAAACCTGGGTTTTTTTCCAGTTTTCTTTTTGTGTGTGTGGAAAAAAACGGAAATTTTCCGGGAAAATTGCTGGTTTATCAGCCACAACTATATGTTTGTATTGTGTACAAACGGGGACATCCTGGCTCAAATCCTGGCCTGCTGCCCTGCACCACCCTCCCTTCAGGGCAGACCAAGATACACCCTGGGTCTCAGTGGGGGAAAGAATAAAGGCAGTAAACCCAGCATTTTGAGGGGGGGTGTGTGTGCCTGGAAGTCATGGTGACCTCTGGTGACTGACCCCTACTGGGGGCCTGGAGGATATTCCGCGAGGTGGCTGAATAAAGCCTGCCCCCGCCTCCCACCTCTGGTATTCCAAGGAGGTCTCCCATCCAAGTACTTGCCAGAGTCGACCCTCCTTAGCTTCCGAGATCTAAGAAGATGGGGCTTGCCTGGGCTATCCAGGTCAGGGTAAAACCATCATTTGTTGAGGCAAACTAGGACTCGGATGATCATTTGTGAGCCAAATCCCAGTTCCGCAAACCATTCTTAGGTCCCGGTCACACGAGCAGGATGCCACGCCGCTGAAGTGAGGCAAAGTAGAGCCGGAGCAAAAAGAACCACGGGAGCGTGACCCAACGCGCCCCCTTGGCTCTGTGCTCCGGCCTTCTGCAGGCGATCAGACGTAGCGCAGCAAAACAGACGTTGCGTGTTTGTGCTCATGCGTGGGACGGGGAACGGCGCTGGCTGCGATGGGCTACCAGCGCTTCCCCGATCAGACGCCTGGAGTTTCCACACATCATCCGGAAGTTAGTACCTTTTTAATGCGTGTTTACGAGCCAAAGGGGCGGATCGAGGATGGGTGCGTGACGCTTCCCAGATGTTGCGGTGTGATCGCGCCCCCTTGATGCGCCCCCGATCCGTCCCTCTTGCGGGGCAAATCCTCCCGTGTGACCAGGGCCTCAGTCTACATTATGGCTCCTTGTTCTATCTGAACCAAGCCCAAGACTGATTATTAATTTATCCCATTTGCCCGGGCACAGCCTGTCCCCAGGTAACGTGCATTGAATTGTCTTGCTTAATGCTCACAACCAGCCGGTAAGTTAGGCAACGACTTGCCCAAGATTGCTGAGAGAGTAAGTTGGCTGAGTGGAGATTTGAACCCAGAATACCTTTGGTCCAAGTCGACACTCTGACCACCGCATCCCGGTGGCCCCGAAGGTTTCTTCTCTGAGGTAAGTTACCTGTTTTCTTTCCCCCCTTTCGCTCTAAGACGGGTCCTGAGCATGAATTGGAACTGAGGGAGCTTCACGTCTGGCGGCTGACCCCTTCTGACCAAGATGGCCAGTCCCACCAAGTTCTACGAGAGGATCACCGGCGACTGCCTGAAGGACTTCCAGTACCTCAGCAGAGGGGCCTTTGGGGAGATCTACCGGGCTCGGCACCGAGACTGGGGGATCGATGTTGCGGTGAAGATTCTCAACCGGTAGTGGTGATGGTTGAAGGGCAGGCTGAGGAAGGAGGGAATCAATTGGCTGGGCGAGGGAGTCACCGTCCTTCAGGAGTGCCAGGGCTCCACTGGCATTGGTCTGTGCAGGCTTCCACGAGAGCCAGTCTTCGGCTTGTGGGATTCCCAAACCCTGACCTCAGAACGAAACAACCAACACACAAGGAGGGAGATTACAAATATCAATGTGGACAACAGTATTGCGCATTGCAGATGAGAAAGCAAATATAGGGGTTGTAAGACGCTGTGTGGCTAACAGAGAAGGAGAAGGGGGGGCAGGAACTAGGGGAGCAACTGAATACATGACTGCATGGTGTGGTGTAGTGCTTAAGAGTGGTGGACTCTAATCTGGAGAACCGGGTTTGATTCCCCACTCCCCCCGCATTCAGCTGCTGGGTGACCTTGGGCCAGTCATGGTTCTCTCAGAGCTGTTCTCTCAAGAGCAGTTCTCCAAAGAGCTATCTCGGCTCCACCTACCTCACAGGGGGTCTGTTGTGGGGAGGGGAAGCGAAGGTGATTGTAAGATGCTTTCTGAGTGAAGGGCAGGGTATAAATCCGACCTCCTTCTCTTCCTCCTCCTCCTCTTCCGCTTCCCCTTCTCCTCCTCCTCCGTCTCTTTAAACTGGACACCTGGGCCTTCTCAGTCTCCCTTTCTCCAAAAGTCTCATCTTTTGCATCAGTCCCCGACATGGGCCACCGGATCTTCTTCAGCCACCCTTCCTGACCCTCAACTCTTCCATCGCGTGACTACCCACGGTCACCTTTTAAAACCAAACACAAATCATTAAAACAGAGTTAAAATGTGCACGGAACATAAACATGTCGGTTAGGACTGAGGGACCGTTTAGGGAATGCCAAAGGAAACAAAAATATCTCCACCCACTGGCAGAAGATGGCAACAGGAAGGGGCCTGGTTCCTACAGACACCCCCCCCCCCCAAAAAAGGGCGCATTCTCTGAATGACCTTCGCCAGCAGTTTCCTCAGGATGGGTAGCCATCTTTGTCTGTAGCAGTAGAAAAGAGCAAGAGTCCAGTAGCACCTGAAAGACTAACAACATTTGTGGCAGGGTATGGAACATTCGTGAGCCAGTTTGGTGTCGTGGTTAAGTGCACGGACTCTGATTTGGGAGAACCGGGTTTGATTCCCCACTCCTCCACTTGCACCTGCTGATGTGACCTTGGGTCAGTCACAAGCTCTGGCACAGCTGTTCTTGAGAAAGAGCAGTTTCTGTCAGAGTTCTCTCAGCCCCACCCACCTCACAGGGTGTCTGTTGTGGGGAGGGGAAGGGAAAGGAGTTTGTAAGCCGCTCTGAGACTCCAAGTGAAGGGCGAGGTATAAATCCAATCTCTTCTCTTCTTCTTCTACTGTCCTGGCCCCACTGGTGGACCTCCTGATGGCACCAGGTATTTTTGGCCACTGTGTGACTGGATGGGCCATTGGCCTCATTCAACATTGCTTTCTCTTATGTTGTTATGTTCAGTTTGGTGTAGTGGTTAAGTGCACGGACTCTAATCTGGGAGAACCGTGTTTGATTCCCCACTCCTCCACTTGCACCTGGCTGGATGGCCCTGGGCAAGCCATAGTTGTGATAAGAGCTGTCCTTGAAAAAGAGCAGTCTCTGTCAAGAATTCTCTCAGCCCCACCTACCTCACAGGGTGTCTGTTGTGGGGAGGGGAAGGGAAAGGAGTTTGTAAGCCGCTCTGAGACACCTTTGGGTAGTGAAGGGCGGGGTATAAATCCAATCTCCTCCTCCTCTTCCTCCTCCTCCTCCTCTTCTTCATCATCTTCTTCATCATCTTCATCTTCTTCATCATCTTCTTCTTCTCTCACTTCCTCAGATCCGAAGGAGTGAGCAGTGACTCACAAAAGCTCCTCCCTGCCACAAATTTCGTTAGTCTTTCAGGTGCTCTCGGACCCTAGGAGTTTCATGTAGATGGTAAAGAGCGCAGGGGACTAGGTGGAACCTTGCAGGACCCCACAGGGCAAAGGCCAAGGGGCTGAGCAGCAACCCCCCCTCCCAGCACCACCTTCTGAATCCTATCCTCCAGGTTGGACCAGAACTGCCACAGAATGGGGCCTTCCAATCCCAATGCAAGTAGATGGTCTTTGGGGGGACCTGAACCAACAGGCCACCAGGTTGCCTTCCATTGAGTTGAGCCCTGAGCTGTCTCAGTCAGCACTGTGTGCTCTGACAGGCTGTCAAGCAGAGAAAGTCGGTTCTCAACACAAGGTATTGAGGATTAAAGTGGGGAACTTTGGTGTGTGTTCAGTCACCGGGCCACGGGCCCTTCCCAAAACTTATAAGGACGCAACGAGGTGCAATGATAGCAAGGCGGAGCAGAGGTCCTGCCAAATTTGACTGCCGGTGGCTTTCCAGGTTAAGGTCTTTCAGATATCACCTACCGCCTGATAACAGGAAATGCCTGAGATTGAACCCAGGGCCTTCTGCATGGCAAGCAGTTGCTCTGTCCCTAAGCTGTGGCTCAGCTATAGGGGTTATGGGATTTACCAGGTTGACCATATCAGGTTGGGGTCACGACCAGAGTGGGCTGGGTCTCAAGAATTCCTTTTCCTGGCCAGGGTCCGGCATACCTGAGGGACCGCCTTTCCCCACACAGGCCCTAAAGAGCACTTCGGTCGGGGTCGCAATACCGCCTAGGCTTGCCAAGTCCCCCCGGGGGGCGGAGGAACCCACGCCCCAGAGGCCCGTTCCCCGCTGGCGGCAGATCGGGCCCCGGGGGAACTCCACCCTGACGTGCACATCGCCAGGAAGTGATGCGGGCACGCTGGGGGCGGGGCCACGGTCATCCAAGGGAAAACTATAGTTTTCCCTCAGATGGTCGTGGCCCCACCCCCAGTGTGCCCGGCATGCCCGCGTCACTTCCGGGCGACGTGATTGCGGCGCACACGCTCCATCCGCCAGCCGGGAGTCCCCCGCTGCGGCTGAATTCACACTTGGCAACCCTAACACCTCCTGGTGACCACGGGCCCTAAAGAGGCCAGGCTTGCTACCACGAGGGCCAGGTCCTTTTCGGTGGCGGCTCCTACCTGGTGGAATGAGCTCCCGGAAGAGATCAGGGCTCTGCGGGACCTCTTACAGTTCCGCAGGGCCTGCAAGACGGAGCTCTTCCGCCAGGCTTTTGAGTAGGAGCCGCCACTACCACCACCGTGCGACTGCAGAGCAGTATCGCCGGGTTGGGCCGATTGGTCATCTGGAACATTGTGGCCCATGGCTTCCCTCCCTTTGATCCCTCCCTGATATGCAATGGGGGAGTGTGTATTTATAGTCTTTCATGTATCCTGTTTGATGTGGATTTTAGTCTTAATTGTTTTAACTTTTACTGCACTTTGTGCCTATGTAAGCTGCCCAAAGCCCATGTGCGGGGAGGGCGGGGTATAAACGAAATGAAATAAATAAAATTAAAATAAATACATTCCTCCTGCCACTCACATCTTTTTCTCCGCCCCGCAACCTTCTGCAGGGATGCTTCCTGCACCCGAGAGGAACTCCTGAACGAAGCCCGTGCCATGGACGAGGCGCGCTTCACCTACATCCTCCGCCTCTTCGGCCTCTTCGTGGACGAAGTGGAGACGGACGCCAAGGTGGCAGGCTTGGGAGATGCTGCCCCCAGGCTGGGCCTTGTGATGGAGTTCATGGAGAATGGCAGCCTGTCCACCTTACGGGATCGGGTACCGTCCGTGCCTTGGGCCTTGCGACTTCGCATCCTCCACCAGGTGGCGCTGGGGATGAATTTCCTGCACAGCCTTAGTCCTCCGCTGTTACATCTGGACCTCAAGCCTAGCAACGTCCTGCTGGATGGGGAGCTACATGTCAGGGTGAGCCACAGGGTTCCTCTTCCTTAATGGGGGAGCCAGTTTGGAGTGAGCGCCCCCTAGAGGAACTGAGTGCCTTTATAATATATCCACAACTTTCGGCATTCAGTGAATCCTTTCAGCATGGACTCCACATACCTGCATGATGCAAAGGATTCTGGGAAATGTTATATGACGCCTACTTGGGTGCTAGGGTCGCCCTGCTGATGAGCGGGAGACTTACTGGAGGGAAGGGCTCACTGGCGATGTCAGCAATGCACTGATGTCACTTTCTGGCACACAGGAAGTGACATTAGTGCATCACTGGGGACGCGCTACCATTTCACAGGCACTCTATGGTTTTGCTATAGAGTTTTTGCAGTATGCTAGAGCGCCCGTCACTTCTGGTTTAAACTGGAACTGATATATCACGCCAGTGCATCACCAGTGTATCGGGCCTGTCCTTCCCCCCAAAGCATCAGTGGGCATCAGGGGAAATTGCTGGGAGGCCTCCTGCGATATCAGGAGTCCCGGCATCCCTAATGGATTAATTGATTGGGTATGAACTAGAGAGCTTAGCCACCACTGCAGAGTGCGATCAGCAGTGATGAACAAGTTTGAAAGATCATTTATCTATCTCAGTGATGGCAAACCTTTTAGAGACCGAGTGCCCAAACTGCGACCCAAAACCTACTTATTGATCGCAAAGTGTCGACACGGCAATTTAACCTGAATACGGAGGTTTTACTTTAGAAAAAACAACCCATACATAAACTTAAGATGATCCAAACAAAGTAAGGAAAGCAATCCCAAATGCTTTCATTTACTTAAAATTATTTGGCAGAGAATTCGACACTTGAATGATGGTCTGGGCCTGGCTGGGGCGATGGCATGCGTGCCCACAGAGAGGGCTCTGAGTGCCACCTCTGGCACCCGTGCCATAGGTTCGCCACCACTGCTCTATCTAGTCATTGGTGAACTCTTGAATATCTTTCTGGAGGACTTTGTTTCCCAGAACAAACTTTTAAACATCGGTTTATTAATTCCTTAATCCAACTGGTTATCTTGTAGTCCTCCTAACCCATTTGCTGGGTTTTTGCTGAATATGTATACAATCCTGTGAAGACCAGGCCCTCTTGTTCTGCGCTTTTCTTTTCAGTAGTCATATAGCTGACTATCCCCTGTTTGGGGGGAAAGAAATTTTTTGGGGTGGTGGTACAGTGGATCTCTCAAAGACATAGCTGATATCCCTGATTCCAAATGCTTTTTGATGTTGGATAGCATTCAGACAGGATTTTCCCACTTGAATTACTTGTTTAGTTAAATATTTCTATCCTGCCTGTCTTTATCATCAAATGGTACAGCTTTCACTGGTAAATTCTAGCCATTTTAAGAACATCGCTTTACATTTAATTGTCCAGAAATATTTAAAACTTCCTTCCTTCCTTCCTTCCTTCCTTCCTTCCTTCCTTCCTTCCTAAAAGCCTTTGCATTTCAGAAGTCAAAGCTGACCCTACTTCAAGTCCAAAAAGTCAGACGCTGAATTTCTGGGAAAGGTTTTTTCCCCGTGCCCCAACTATGTTCTTTGCATCATAATGTGGATGGCAGCAACCACTATTTTCAGCTCACCGGAGAAAGATCTTGGGTGTCTCATGCTTAATATCCCTCCCTTTCAGGTAGCTGATTTTGGGTTGTCCAAATTCAAACGCGGCACTACCCAGCGTACTGGTCTCAGCAGCGGGGAAGGGGATGGATATGGCGGGACGCTGGAGTTCATGCCTCCAGAGGCCTTCTCCCATCGGGACATCTAGTGCAACAGCTCAATTTGCTATAAAAGCCACTACTGAGGAGTAGGAACACATTGTAGGTCAAACCGGGGGGGGGGAGACACTCTATCCTAGTCTCTCTCAGTGCTCTGTCTTCTATGCCTTCTATTGGCTGCTGTGCGTAGCAGTGTTTTCATTGATACCCACCCAATCGTGCTAGAGCTCTGGGGTTTGCCTGACCACCCCTTTGACAGAATAACCGAAAACATTGCCCTGCCCTGTGACCTTTCAGTATTTCCTGTGCCCCTAATCGGCTTTCTTCTCCGCCTTCAGTTATGGAATCCTCACGTGGTCGTTGTCCACCGGCGAAGAGCCTTATCCGCGTGAGTTCTGCTCCTTTCGCTCACCGTTTCTCAGCTTGCCTGGGGTTTTCGTGACTGTTTCCGTGAATGTGGATTGCCAGGCTGTACCTGAGCTATCCGGGTCAGGGCATCCAAGAACTACACAGGGTTATTTTAGGGCAGATAGGCACCGTACATCTTAGATCATCGTGATAGAAAATTAACTGTGATGCTGTGTGTGTCCCCCCCCACCCCCGGTATTGTAGTTTGGTCTGGGTGTTGGGCGTTTCGTTTGAGGTTCCGAACCCTCCTTTCGGAGGGTTAAGCATATGCGGGTGACCTTGCCCTACGTATCCATGAGCCTCTGTAATCTTCTACTTAACATAGAGCCGCCAGCCCCCGGGCAGGGACAGTGGATCCCCCGTCACCTGCTGCCAATCAGCTGGCCAGCAGGAAGACTTACTAGGTGACGGGGGGACACCTAGGCTGGAGGGGCGGCAACATCACTGGTCAGGGCTATTTTGGGGCAGGAA